TAGCTTGTTGATGGTTGAGATAGATTCAACCAGCTTCTTTATATAATGTAGCTTGTACAAACTTAATTAATATGGTTTTATTATTTAATTAAGAGATAGTTCAGCAATAACATGTTGAGTTATAGGTGTAACTTACCCTATAAATTAATGTTTTTGCATAGAGGATGCAGATTAGATTTAGGCTGGAAACTTCGAGTTTCACAAAAGTACAAACACAACAAGCATTTCAAGTAAATTATAAGCACTTTTTGAAGTAATATTATAGAAATGGTTTAGCAGCCATAAATTTTTGTAAGCAACAAACAACTTTCCTATTCCGACGATTACTAGCACGTCACTAGAAGCATTATTGATGAACTTTTGTGGTTAGTTTCTTCTTAGATTACACACTCATGGCAGTGAGGATGCGAAGGTGGGTATGAAATGCACTGTCCAACACACGGCCAGTAGATGCATTGGCAAGTGTTACATAAATAGACAGTTGGAAACCTTGGAAGCCCTGATGATCAACTTTCATATGGTTTTATTTGATTGATTCAATCAGAAAGGATATGGATTGTCATTGTGGCATAAATATTGGGAACCAACTGAATTAATGCATTTGTTGGCATAAACAAGTCATCACAATAATTGGATCAGAGCAGCAGGTTCACAGCCTAGAAGTAGGCGCGCCTGATCTTACATTACAGTCAGTCATCAGTTGCCTATAATAATGCAAAAGATGAACATTATTATTATTATTCATATATATATATATAAGGATCTAAATGAAACAAATCATAGCAGTTTTATTATTATTCGTAAAAGAGAAAATTGAATCAAGAATCTTACAAAAGATTTAACTGTTAGAATTCCTACAAGAGCCAAAATACAGAGAAAAATGGGAAAACCTCTCAATTTCCTAAAGAAATAGACATACAAGGGAAAACCAATGATACTTTTTCCCAAAAAAAAGCTGCAGATAAGAGATCATCGATGCAGTAACTAACAGAAACAATGCTACAATGCCTTAAGCAGTTAAGCGTATTAGCTCAGGCCTGAAATGATAATTTGAAGAATGACACTGCAAGTTCTGTTTGAATGACAAAGAATTGGTGATTGCTATCTTCAGTAGTACAGCTGCATTTGTGTACTGTTAAATCCACTGCTGAAATTGGCTACAAATGGATTGTGATTCAGAACAGCAACCCCTCGGGGAATTCAAGTCGCTTGTACTTTCCATGTACTCCAAGCTAGCCAAATGTGCAAGTACCAATGATTTCAGAAGAGGCAGTTTACTTAGCCATCAAGTTTGTACATCCATAAAACATGATATTGACAAGACGCGATAGGGAGACTGCCCAGTCACTCTCTGTTCTCCCCCACTTTGGAATTGTTGTACCCTTATAACAATATCTTGATATTTGAAGGTGGCTCCAGGACTTCCAACACAGCTTCATGTCTCACACATCCACCCTGTTTCTCACTAAATTTGATAACGACGCCGGTGAGATATTTCATGCTCTTCAGATACCTTCCCTCTACCCCGTTATTCATGCCTACCACTTTTCTATTATTATAATATTCACTGATTTTAATCGTGATGGATCCCTTCAAGTTGATGAGAGGTTTTAGGGCTTTCAGCTCGTCAACATCACTTGAATTTCTGTTACCCACCACAAAGTATGTAAGCACTCTAAGACTACTTAGCTTATCCAAGCCCGAAGGCATACCACTTAAGTTAGTAACATTAGAGAGTATATGTATATCCAAATGCCAAAGGTTAACCAGTTTGCTAAAATCTTTTGGCAACTCCCTTAAATTATTGCAACGGCCTAAATTTAAAGTCTGCAAATTATGCAGCCTTGTAATTGCATCAGGAAGTATCTCCAAACTACTATTATGAGACAGGTCAAGAAACCTTAAATGCAACAGATTACCTATTGAATCGGGCAAGATTTCAAACTGCAATTTTGACAAATCAAGCGCCCTTAGGCACAACCACTTGTCAATAAGAGTATCCACTGGAGGCTTTTTCTCGCATTATTGCAAATGTATGAACGAATCTTATTGCTACATGAAGAGATCGTTTCTGGACATATATCACCAACACATTGCACATGACGTATTTTATCACCCGTGTAATTCGTCATAGCAGTCACTACACGGGCCTCCTCCTTCCCCACTTCTTGAGCAACATCATGCATCAAGTCATGGATCTTAATTGAATAAATATCACCACAATCATCTGTCATGACATCTTGAAAGAAACATCTCCGTAACAAAATTACAAAATGTTCCTCCGCAGCATCATCTATACTTTGACCTCCTTCTAATGGCACAATGTATCCTTGTGCCATCCAAAGTTCAATTAATACACCCTTCTCTATTTCATGATCCTTTGGAAACACTGCACAATAACTGAAACAACTCTTCAACGAGGATTCTAGATTGTGGTAGCTGAGCATTAATATAGACATAATCCTATTATTGCCTTCACCATTTGTTGCTAGTCCGCTCTGTTCAAACGACTCCCACTTTTGTACGTCTTGCCCAAACAAAAGACTTCCCACCACCTTTATAGCTAAAGGAACGCTATGACACTTTGCAACAATCTTCTTCCCAATCTCAACGAACTCACCATGACATTCTTGGTTACATCCACTGCTAAATGCCGACATCTTAAACAACTGCCACGAATCCTCATGAGATAACCCTTGTAATTTATAGGCATGCTCATGATAACTGATGTAGTCTCTGAATGTGTAGTTATCACAATCCTACTCCCCCCTCGACCCAACATCAAGAACTTCTTCAAAGCAAGCCAATTCTCACGGTCCTCATTCCATACATCATCAAGAACAAGGAAGAACTTTTTTCCATTGTAGAGCTACCATCAATCTTACAATGAGTAACCAATTCAATAATCTTACAAAGGATTGCTTTCACATCAAATATTTCCCCATCTTGATCAGAGACACAAACCCATAACCTCAAATCCGGAAACTCATTCTTTATCTTATCATCATTAAACACAAGTTGAGCAAGAGCGGTTTTTCCCAACCCTCCCATTGCCACTATAGTCAGGAAACAAAAATCTTCCTTCACACTAGGATTTAGCAACATATCTATGATCGTCTCCTTATCCTTATCCCTCCCAATAATATCATTCACGTGTAAATACGAACAAGTTTCCTCCCTTCTCCTACAAATAGGCTTATAGTCAACTTTAAACCCAAACTTAGTGTGCCTATCAACTATCTCATCTAACTGCTTCTTAATCTCCTTTGTAAGCTTGACCCATCTTCTTTTTCTTAGAAGAAAAGAAACGACGCACCTTTTCAGAGATCTTACCACCCTTGTTGGCATTGCCATCGATCTGTTTCAGCTGAGCAAGAATGAGGAACTCATCGAACAAGTCGTCGGCATCATAAACAACATCCTTGAGGTCCTCGATGTAGCCTCGTTCTGCCTTGGTGAGCTCTCGCTTGGATTCGGCATCAAGGAGCACATTCTTGATGGTGGTTACAGTTTTGGAAGGTCTTCAAGCTGAGATTTGTAACCCCACATATCGCATATCTCTTTAATGATCTCACTGCTAATCACTTCTATGAGTTTCTCAGCAACCGAGATTCCGAGTTCAGCCATTGGGTTTTTGGTAAAGATTTCAGAGTGAAGAACAGATGATGGAGTGGACAGTGGAGAAAGATAGTAAGAGTAATGGTGACCACAGCTTGATTGATTACTCCCTATATTTTGGATGCCCATAATTTTATTGTGGCCATTGTATCGTAGCCCTTCAGTTTTATTAACAAACGTAAACCGTTGATATGGTTTATTTTGTGTTTTATTTTTTTTAAAAAAAATGTTAAACAAAAAAAAATTAAAAAGTTATCACATTCTTATCAGTTTTCTGTTTTATATCCTTTTTGTTTATCAAGTTTTTTTCCTTTACTTCTTTTCAATTGTTTCCTTTTGTTTATATGAATTTATGATTTAATGCCGTATCACTAAGCGCAAAAGGCAAATAGAAATAGTGGATCCACAATAACATTGTGACAAACTGACAATTACGTTATCCCATTGTAAAAATGGAACTTGCAAATGGACCTAAATCATAAAATTGGTCCAAAACCTAGAGTGGACCAGTTTGGAAATTTTTTAATATTTTTAAATGTTTTTAAACATTATGGAAAAAAAAAAGTATTATTTGTAATATTTTAAAATTTTCTTTGTTGTAGCTTTTCAAAAATAAAAATAAAAAAAAATTCTTTGTTGTAAATAATACTTTCTTTATCCTTTATATTACTTGCAACATTTAGACATTTTCTAATCATATTTTATGTTACATTGTTGTAAATAATATGAAACGGATGTAGTATATTGAGTTTATCATAGTCGTAGTTGAGATAATTTACTCACTGACATCCTAATTGTTGTTTAGAAATAAGTACTCCCTCATTTTTAAATACGCTCCATTTCCTTTTTAAAAAAGCTTTTACAATATTTAATTCATTTCTCACATTTAGTAGACCCAACATAATACTCTCTTTTTTTTTTTTTTTTTTTTTTTTTTGAAACAACATAATACTCTCTCTCATCCTATTCTTTCACTACTTTTGCTTTTTATAATTTTTTATTCTCTCAACTACCTCACTACCTCCCTATTTTAATCCTTTCTCCGATTTCTCCTAAAACTCCGCGCATGGAAAAATTGAGCAAGTATTTAAAAACGGAGGGAATACACAGTAATTTGTATGTAGAAACTACAAGTACTGATTAAGACTTCTCCAAAATTACTCCGTATTAGTGAAGAGTCTGAAGACCTTGTCAAAACTCAGAAGTCACTGCAAAAACCAGAAGTTCTTGGCACAAGAAGTTTCTTAAGTACGAGGCAAAATAAAAGAGCATAAGATTCTAACATTAACATGAAGTACTTTTAATAAGGAATTACTGTGATGCACATCAACAAACCACACATATATCATAGAAAGAAACGAGGTTGAATAAGCAGCCATATCTCAAGAAAACAAGTCCTAATTTAATGGGAAGAGAAAACTGCTTCACATAATCAGCATCACTGTCATTGTTCCTTATTAGAAAATATGCTGTCCATACTTTAACATTGAATGCAAGATTTTAAATACAAATCAACAAACACTCTTACTGTAAGAAGCCTTAGAAATTCATCTTGACAAATGGAACGATCAAATCCGCTTTCTTTACAGTAACTAATTTTTTTTTTTTCGGATTTACTGTAATACAGTACTCACTAGATTGACCAGGGAGCCTTGTCTACTTGATCAGTTAACAAAAATGGAAAACAGGAGGCAAAAAGAATCTGCAGCACCGTGGCCTAACAAACTGATTTTGCCGCTTCAATAACTGCCTCGGCTGTGATTCCATACTCCTTGTATATTATTCCTGCTGGTGCACTAGCTCCAAACTTGTCAATACCGATGGCCTTCCCCTTTGATCCCACAATCTTGTGCCATCCGAAGGTTGATCCAGCCTCAATGCTTACTCTTGCTGTAACATCTGCAGGAAGGACACTCTCCTTGTATTCATCAGATTGCTGTTCAAACAACTCCCAAGACACAAACGATACAACTCTGACAGATTTTCCTTCTTTTCTTAGCTCGTCACCAGCTTTGGCAGCAATTTCCAGCTCTGAACCAGTTCCAATCAGAATAACATCAGGCTTGTTGCCTGAAGAGTTGTCTGAGATGGTGTACCCTCCCTTTGCAACTCCTTCAATGGATGTTCCTGGCAAGTTAGGAAGCTTTTGCCTAGAAAGAGCAAGAATGGATGGTGTCTTTCTGTTTTCAACAGCAACCTTGTATGAACCAGCAGTCTCGTTACCATCAGCTGGGCGGAGCATTAGAATGTTGGGCATGGCACGAAAACTTGCCAAGTGCTCGATGGGTTGATGGGTGGGTCCATCTTCTCCAAGCCCAATAGAGTCGTGGGTCATAACATAGATGACTCCAGATTCTGACAAGGCAGAGATCCTCATTGCTCCTCTCATGTAGTCAGTGAACACAAAGAAGGTAGCACAGTAAGGGATTAGCCCTGGGCTGTGAAGGGCAATTCCATTGCAAATGGCTCCCATTCCATGCTCTCTAACACCAAAACGAACATTTCTTTCTTCCGGTGTGTCCTTTTGGAAGTCTCCGAACATTTTTAGTAAGGTCATATTTGAAGATGCAAGATCTGCACTACCACCAAGAAGTCCTGGAAGAACCTTTGCAAGGGCGTTTAAGCATTGCTGCGACAGGTTTCTGGTTGCATCACCTGGGGTCTCAGGTGTGTAAGTCTGCAAAAAGAAAGTAAACAATTCTATGAGTCTAGCAATTTGAGCTAGGAATGAAAGATAATTAAGTAGCTACTCACAGGAAGAGCTTTCTCCCAACCAGCAGGCAATTCACCGGTAATGATTGACTTGAACTCAGCTGCTTCTGTAGGATACTTCTTCTCATACTCTGCAAACTTAGAAGTCCACTCAGCTTCCAAGGAGGCTCCCTCAGGGGTATGGCGGCTCCAGTGCCTGCAGAATCAGGAAATTATAAGTTGGATAGCAATAATAAAACAAAAGGTGTGAAATGCAATCGTGTTGCTTACTTCTTCACTTCCTCTGGAACGTGGAATGGCTCGTAAGGCCAGCCAAGATTCTGCCTTGTAGCCTCAACTTCCTTAGAACCCAATGCACTTCCGTGCACACTGTACGAGTTTGACTTGTTGGGAGACCCAAAACCAATAGTGGTAGTAACCTGCATTAACAAAATGGTTAAATCATCTGTCTCAGGTATATCTACAAAACATAAAAATATAAAATATACACTCATTTACTTGAAAAATAAGCTGGTAGTTTTCATTCCAACAGCTAAAACACTGATGTTCACATAAGAATGAATGTAGAAAAATGCAACAAACCAAATATAGAATACAATAAAAGAGCAAAGCCTTAAAAGTTGCAATTAATATAATGGAGACCTTGATCAAAGTGGGTTTGTCCTTGACAGACTGAGCTTCCTTGATAGCAGCACGAATTTCATCGTAACCAGTGTTACCATTCTTCACCCAAATAACATGCCAGCCAAGGGCCTCAAACCTCAAATCAACACTCTCAGTGAATGCAATGGCAGTGTCGCCATCAATAGAAATGTGATTATCATCATACAGGGCAATCAATTTTCCAAGCCCCCAGTGGCCAGCAAGTGAGCAAGCTTCCTGGGCGATTCCTTCCATCTGGCAACCATCACCAAGAATGCAGTACCTGAAAGTTCAAAAATTATAAGTAAAATTACACATGCAGAAGTAATCTGAACTGAATCAAAAACACAAATTAGCAGAGAAAAAAAAAAGACAGAAAGAAGATTTTACGTGTAATGATCTACGATTTCAGCATCAGGTTTGTTGAAACGAGCAG